AAAAAATAAAAGAGGTCCCACTTCACCATGTGCAGTATGACAACGGTGTCCCCTGCAGCCACTGCTTCAGCACCTGTAACACAAGGTTGCCCCATAACCCCTGTTGCAGGCAACGTCCCATTGCGGCAACATTTCCCCTGGGGAGTCTCAAGCCCAGTTCCCTCCTCCTTAACATCTCCAGCCCTTCGGACTGCAGCGGAAGCCTCAGACATGGCCCAAGGCACCTCTCCTGGGCTGCCCTTGTGGCTTATTTATCGTGCAGTCCGGCCACTACAGAGGCCAGGCACGCTCTGGTGGGATGGACGCTGGGAGAAGGCATCTCCCACTGGATGTCAGGAGGCGAGGCTCCCGACGGTGCTAATTGGCTGGAGGAAACAGACAGCGACGCTGATTGGAGGAGGGCCACACAAAGGGGAAGGACTCCTGTCGACTTGAGACCTGAGCTCGGCTGAGGGTGTCTGGGCTCAGGGCACAAACTGCCTGTGAGTGCATCTTCTATGGCCTGTGAGTCTTGGCAGGATTTCAGAGCATCAGGTGGATGACAACGCGGTAGCAGTATGGCTCTTCCCTTCTTGGGCCAGGGGACTGGAAGGTGGTTTTTATATTTGGAGGGAAGGTATTCAGAACTAGAGGATACAGCAATATTATTAGATTTGGCTTTTCCAAGGAAGGAGCTAAGAAGCTAAGAAGGAAGCCAGGGCACCACTAGAGTACAGGAAAATAAATGTCATGAAGATAAATGCAATGTCCTCACATGGACCCCCCAACACTTACTTCATCATGAGGAAGCTCAGAAACTTCACGCGTGAAAAAGAATTGGCAGTTTTATTAGACTGTAAACTCTGTAACTCAACAGAGTTGAAGCTGCAAAAAAGCTCAAATTAAATCTTAGCCTTTGTAACCGGCTAGAGTTCCACGATACAATGGAACTCTAAATCTCAGATTGGGCTAAGGTAGCACTAAAGGCAGAGAAGAAATAGAGAGTCCTCTCTCCCCTCCATGCCAAAGAAGTCAGTGCTTCTCTTCAGGGACTTACAAAGGAAGGACTGGTGACTATTTTGAGAGAGTTGGTTTATCTCTTACTTCAGTGATGTAGGGATTTGAAGAGAAGCTGAGGGGGGAAAAGAGGGTCTCTTTGGAGGTCAAGACAGTTAGTTTTATTATTTTGATTAGTATCAAACAAGAGAACCAAGAATGTTCTTGGGTTTCAAAGCAAATAAAGGACTTATCATTATCAAGAGAAACCAAGATTATGGAATTTGCTTGTGATTTCATCCACAGGACAGAGGAGCTAGGACTTTGCAGATGTCTATTAACACGTTAAGTGCCAATCCTGTTTTGCCTTCCTTTCCATTTAGCCCACGATATCCGATTTCACCGATAAGCTTTCTCTTCAGTCAGTTGTCTGTGGTTCGTGTTTCAGTGCAGTTTAAAATTTTTTTCTTTTTTTTTTTTTTCTTTTTTTTTTTTTTTTAAAGATTTTTATTGGGAAATTGGGGGGATGGGAACAGTGCTGGGGAATTGGGGAAAGGGGAACAGACAAGTTGCTGTCGTTTTGTTCTTCAGTCTAGTTGTGGAAGACGTTGCTTCACTGGCCCAAGTTGGCACCATCATTGCGCTCTTCTCTGGCGAGGCAGATCAGTCTCCGGCTTCTGGACGGCCGCTCACTGCGGCTGCTGGCCGCTCACGCTGGCTGCTGGCCACACACGGTAGCCCATGGCAATCCACTGCCACAGGGACTGCAGCCCACGCCGTCGCCGGCGACTCATGGCAGCCCAGCTCCAGGTTGAGCTGTTGTTCAGCATCTTAGCTGTGGAGGGCAGTGTCACTGGCCCTCATATGTGGGATCCGAACCGGGGCCCTCTGGCGTCCCAAGCGAGTTCTTAACCATCGCGCCACTCGGCCGGCCCTAAAATTTTTTTTCTTTATCTGTAACAATGACAATGTCAGTAGAAGAAACGTGTGAAAGTGATTCAAGTGAAATTAGTTTTCCTAATAGAAAAATATAATTTTTTAATTGTATATCGTCCGTCACCAGTGACTGACGCGGGCTGAACGGAAAGTATAGTGTCAGTCACTGGTGACTGACATGGCGCTTAACGTGTTGAAGAACCAGGAGGGTTGCACCTTTATTAATGGGTTAAGTATTTGGAACAAGGTGAGTGAGCTTCTTTCCTACCTTATACGAGGCAATGTTGAGTCATCAGTACCACAAATCAAGACGACATAAGAGCAGGGCATACTGGGCTGGTTCATGATTGGACATCATGTCATTTGGGCTGTTTCGGTCACAGAGAAGCCTGGGATAGCCAACAATCATCATACAGGCAAATAAGTCCCTAAAAGTATTTCACAGAATGATGAGTGCTCTGAAGGAGATAGAATAGTGCCCAGTGGGGCCAAGAATGACAAAAGGGACCTTTCTCCATGGGTGGTCTTGGAGCTGAGATTTACATACACAAAGAGGAAACAGCCACATGAAGAGCTGGGGGGTTAGCAATCCAGAGAGAAGGAATTCCTTCCACCATACTTGGCATACTTGAGAAATAGCAAGAAGGTGGGAGTCACTAGGATAGAGTGGACAAAGTGAGGAAAGGCAGGGGAGGAGTCCAGAGAAGCAACGAAGGGCCAGATCACACAGGGCTTGGAGGCCATGGTAAGGGCTTTGGATTGCAGTAGAAACCACTGAAAGGTTTTAAGCAGGAAATTTGCTCTCTGAGGTCACTCTCTCTGTTTGGTGAGGGTAAGAATGGAAGTAGTAGGCTGATCTATTAGGAGGAGCTGGCAATAAACCAGAAGAAAGGTGATGGTGGTCTGGTAGACTTAAAAAATTGTACCAAAAAAAATTTCCACATCATAATCCTTGGAACCTGTGGATATTACCTTACCTGGCAAATACTTTGCAGATGTTACTATTTTAGTATATCAAGATGGGGAGATTATTTCAGGTGGGTCCTAAATGCTATGATAAGTGTCCTTATAAGAAAAAAGCAGAGGGAGATTTGATACAGACAAGAGAGAAGAAGGCAATGTGACCAGGGACATAATGATTGGAGTGATGAGGCCACAAGTCAAGGGATAGAAGGTACCAATACAAGGTACAGGCATGGAAGAATTGTCCCCTAGATCCCTTATAGGGAGAATAGCCCTGCCGACCTCTTGATATTAAGACTTCTAGCCTTCAGAACTGTGAAATAATAAATTTCTGTTTTCAGCCATCAAGTCTGTGGTGATTCATTACAGCAACCACAGAAAATATACAGGTGACTTGGAGTAGAGTTTCAGCAGTGGACAGGGCCCGAAGTGATTGGATTCAAGATCTATTTTTGGAAATAGTATCAACAGGACTAGCTGATGTATCTGGTGTAGATCACAGAAGAAGAAGAGTTCAGGATAATTCCCAGGTTTTTGTTCTGAACAAGCTGGTGGCTGATGGAAACATGAACTGAGACAGGAGAGAGAGGTAAAGATTATTGAGTGTTTTGTGTTGGCCATAGTCATGTTTGAGAAAATATCAAGTAAACATATATCACTGCTGTCTATGTGCCAGGCACTGCTCTAAGTTCATAACCGAGTTATCCATGGAGAATCCAGTGGGCAGTTAGATATGAATGTGGAGCTGAAAGTAAAGCTAGGCTGGCAATATAAACCTGGGCATCATGAGTTCTATTTAAAGCCATGGGGCCAATTCTATCACCCAAAAAGAGAGAAGACTTGGTCTAGGACCTGAGCCAGGGATCTAGCGTATGTTTTGGTGGGATAGTGGAGGAGGGTCCAACAAAGAAAAGAAGGAGCCAATGGAGAGGGAGAAAAACAGCCAGGTGTGAAGTCCCAGAAGCAAGGAGATGGTGTTGGGGAGGAAAAGGTCTGCATCGTCAGTTGTTGCTCTAATGGTGGACAGGAAGAGAACTGACATTTGGCACCGTGGGTGCCACAAGTGGCCTTGAGAAGCGTCATTCCAGGGGCTCGGTGGCGAAGAAAGGTCCATTAGAGTGCACTGAGGAGAGAATGGGAAGTGAGGAGGGGTCCACAGCCAATCTAGGCACATTTTCTGAGGACTCTTGATGTGAACACGGCGCTTGGGGTGCAGAGGAGGCTCTAATTTTTTTTTTAAAGATTTTTATTGGGGATTTGGGGGGATGGGAACAGTGCTGGGGAATTGGGGGAAGGGGAACAGACAAGTTACTGTCGTTTTGTTCTTCAGTCTAGTTGTGGAGGACGTTGCTTCACTGGCCCAAGTTGGCACCATCATGCGCTCTTCCCGGGCGAGGCAGCTCACTGCAGCTGCTAGCCGCTCACGCTGGCTGCTGGCTACCCACTGCCACATGGCAGAGGGGCTGCAGCCTATTCCGTCGCTGGCGACTCACGGCAGCCCAGCTCCAGGTTGAGCTGTTGTTCAGCATCTTAGCTGTAGAGGGCAGTGTCACTGGCCCTCATATGTGGGATCCGACCGGGGCCCTCTGGCGTTCCAAGCCAGTTCTTAACCATCGCGCCACTCAGCCGGCCCTCTAATTGTTTTTTAAGGTGGACAATTCTGCAGCACGTGCTTGCTCTTTGGTTGCAATGGGGGGGGGGGGGAGGGGCTAAAGATGAAGAACAAAGTAAGAACAGTTGCAAAGGCGACATCCTTGAGCAGGCTGGAGGCGTGGGTCGGCGCACAGGGGGAATGCCTAGCCCCGTTTGTTCCATTTCCCCAAGCCTTTGGGACCCAAGAGTAGGCGCGAGCCCGCGGGCAACCAGCGCTGGAACCACCACTCCCGGCAGGCGTTGCGCGGGGCGACAGTGCGCAGGCGCGCGCCGCAGGCCTGGCCTGTTTCCGTCCGGGTCCCGGCCCAGTTCCGGGCGGGACACACCGATGCGCAGGGGGCGGGTTGATCTTAAAAGAGAAACGGCGGCGGCGCGCGCGAGGTGGGCCCCCGGTTTCCCGCTACTGTCCAGGCCCGCGCCAGGCAGGGCGCAGGCGCAGTGGGTGCGGGTGGTGGGGCGCAGGTAAGGCCGGATGGGAGGGGCGGGAGGACTTTGCATCCGGTCGGGCTGCGCTCTGTGCGCTGTAATTGGGGCGACCCAGACCCCCGCCTGGCCCCGTCCTTGCACTTGGAGCTGTTCCCACCGCGCTCCCGCCCCGGACAAGTCCCCCTAGAGGTCTCACACCTTTGCCCGGCCACTCCTTTTCCTACGCCTGGGTGGACCAGCCAGTGGCGTGCTGACTGTGGCCTTGTCCCTCACCTCCCACCCACAGCGCTAGTTCCCGCGGGCTGTACGTCAGGGGACTGCAGGGGTGCCCTGGGCCGAGTGGCAGCGAATGCTATGGCAACGGTTTGGTCTTGTCCCCGCTTCGCAGTGAGACGGCTCTGGCCGACCCACGCGCGTCCTCCGCCCCGCAGACTCCGAGTCATGGCTGCCTCCCCGGCGGACGCGTCCCTTAGGCGGCGGGAGAACCGGCGGCAACTGGATGCGCGCCGCAGCAAGTGTCGCATCCGCCTGGGCGGCCACATGGAGCAATGGTGCCTCCTCAAGGAGCGGCTGGGCTTCTCCTTGCACTCGCAGCTCGCCAAGTTCCTGCTGGACCGGTTAGGACGCTGCAGGGCTCTGGGGGAGGGCACCCAGCGCAGCACCCAGCACTCCCCATCCCCAAAGTGTTGACCCATTGCTTCTTCCTACGGGCCCATTTCCCACTTCGGCAGTACGACTGTGTGATTTGTGGCCTCCCAGGGTCCTGCTCCACTTCTCTTGGTCCCCAGAGAATAGGGAGGGTATGTAGGAGTGGCCTCTTAGGTATGTGAGTGCCCAGAGCTGAGGGCAGTTGCTTGGCTGCGGCCTGACCTAATCTGCCACTTGTCTCCCTGGCAGGTACACTACAGGCTGTGTGCTCTGTTCAGGTAGGTAGCTAATCTGGGGGAAGGGGCTCAGGAGCCAGGGAGGGAGGATGGGCAACAGAGAGTGGTGTGACCCAGCAACACCCTCCTGAAGGGATTAGATCCAAGTGAGTTTGGGAAGAGTTGAGCACAAGGAAGTTTGATGGGGGCAGCCTGTGGGGAAGGGAGCATCATCTCAGTACCTTGGGGGTTCTGGACTCTGAAGAATGGTAAACTGGACTAGGGACCAGCATTGTCCATGGGGGTTTGGGGGCAGCCCTATCTGGGCATTGCTTTCCAGGGTGAGAGTAGGAGGCATCCTAGCTCCCCTGACTGTCACCTTCACCCCTCCAGGTCCCAAGCCTTTGGCCCCCAAGGGTCTGCAGTATCTGGTGCTCCTGTCTCATGCCCACAGCAGAGAGTGCAGCCTGGTGCCTGGGCTGCGGGGGCCTGGGGGCCGAGATGGGGGGCTTGTGTGGGAGTGCTCAGCAGGCCACACCTTCTCCTGGGGTCCCTCTTCAGGCCCCACACCTCCAGAGGAGGCCAAACCGGCCCCCATTCCAAGTACTGCTGGGAGAAGCTGGTGCCCACAGGCCAGGGGCAGGCAGGAGCCTGCAGGTAGGCCTGGGGAAAGGGGAGCTGTGGAGAAAGGGTGGGAAAAGGGTCCCACTTCTGGAGCTCAGAACCCTATATTCTAAAAATGTGCCTTTCTCAATGGAAAAAACTGTGCCGGCAAGGAAGTATATCCACAAATATGTTTTTAGATAGAAAAAGCAAAATACAGAATAGGATTATGGTATGTTACCATTGGTGGGAAAATAAGGGGAGAAAGTCCTTGTGAATGATGAAATATCTCTGGGAGGGCAAGTAGATGCCTGTGGGACCAGCTAGGCGACAGGGGACAGTATTGCAAAGGGAACTTCAAAGTGTACCTTCCTGTACTTGTATTTTTTGAACCATCTCTAAAATAAAATAACCCCTCCCTCTGCAGTAGCCTCTGCCCCTTCCGTCTCCTTCCTTAAAATCCTCCCAGAATTCAGACCGTAGTCTCCATCTGTCCTCATCCCTCAAGCCCAGAGTTTCTGCCCCTTTGACCCCACCTGTGCCAACAGGTTTGGAATCTGAGCATGAGGAGAGGACTCAGGAGACCGGGTTGCCCAGGTGAGGTTGTGATTGAGAGGGACAGGATAGACCGGGGTGGACAGTGGGGGTGAGGGAGCAAGACTAAAAAGGCTTGCCTTCCTTGGACCTGCAGGAAGTTGGGACCCCCACCAGAGGCCTTCCTGCCCCCAGGAGAAAAGGGGGAGGAGGAAGATGAGGGCGAAGAGGAGATGCTCAGTGATGCCAGCCCATGGACCTACAGCTCCTCCCCAGACGAGCAAGTTGGGACTGCGGGAGGAGCAGGAGGAGGGAGAGGCAGCTGGAAAGGGCCTGGTGGGGAGGGCAGAGAGAACAGGAGGCAGGGAATTGGGTGGAAAAGTGGAGTTAGGCTCTAGGGCAGAATGAAGGCTGAATGCAAGGTGAGTGGAGACTTGGGGCAGGGTTGTTTGAAGTGTTGGATCTTTGCAGTATAGAGGTGGGCTGGCCAAAGGCCCAGGGTGACAGTACTCTTCATTCTGCTTTCAGCAGTGAGCCAGATGCCCCCAGACCACCCCCTTCCCCTGTTACCCATGCACTTAAGGAGGGGGAGACACCCTCAGCTCCTGCAGCTGCCCCCAGCCCTGTTGGGCCACCCCGACCAGTATCCTCACTGTGTTCTGGGGCTCCTCTACCTGTGGGAGGTGGGGCACAGCCAGCGCTCAGCGGGACCCCTCAAGTGGCCCAGCAGACTGAGGCCCTGGCCAGGTAACCTGATGGTTGAGGGGATTTGGTGGTGGCGGGGGGGGGGGGGTGTCGGGGTGTATCTTGGGCCTTGTGCTGCATCGTGGCTCTCTTCCCACTCTGCTGCTCCTAGCCCTGGGAGTCTGTCCCCATCTGCTCTGGCTCTGGCTTTGGAGGAGGACGCACAGATCGGTCCTCGGAGAGTTAGGTAGAACTATGGGGCCCTGGGGTGGGCTGAGAGGAGGGAGAGCAGCCAAGAGAGCCTGAGTGGTCCTTATGCCTCTCCCTATCCTGCCCCCAGGAAAGCGGCCAGGAGGGAGCTGCTGCCCTGTGACTTCCCAGGCTGTGGAAGGATCTTCTCCAACCGGCAGTACCTGAATGTGAGGGTGTGAGGAGCCCAGCTTGGATTCAGTGTGGAGGAGCTGAGGCCAGGGAGCCTGGGTGGTGGGGTTGTCGGGGTGGAAGCCAGGGAGATAGGGCTGCCAGCAGTTAGCCATAGGCCAGGTGACCAGTGGGTGAGGTAGACACTGCAGCCTCAGACACACAGCCACTGCCATGCCCAGTCACTGCCAAGGTACCAGAGGACCTAATGGAGGTGACAGCGGCGTCCTCAGGTTCTTGGGTGATAGCAACTATTTCTGAGCACTTGACTATTGGTCTTGACCATATTGGCGATGACCCTAGGGAATAGGTGCTGCTACTGTCCAGGTTTGCAGATGGGGAAGCTGAGGCACAAGCTTAAGCACTGCCCAGGGTGCCTCAGCTAGTGTGTAATAGTGTGGAATCCTGAGTCCACTCAGCTGTTTACCTGCAGGCTGGCATCTAGTGCTGTCCCCAGCCTCACTGCAGGACAGATTGGAGGCATAGGGCAGGTCCCAAGGAGGGCCCACACTGAGGGCTGGTGCTTCAGGGAGGCAGGCAGTCCCAGGTGGCAGAGAAGCTTGCGAATATATGGGGATCTGTTTACGGAGGAAGCAGCCCCCTGCAGCAGTTAACTTCAGGAAGATGGACTGGAGGGGACCCCACACAATTTGGTGAGACAGATGTGAAAGTAGGTTTGAAAGAAGAGATCCTAGCAGTAGTTGGGCAGTTGAGGCTGAAGAACACACTGCCCAGAAAGGTGCTCCAGCTTAACAGTGTGCACTTCAGAGCAGGTATAGGAAAAAAGCGCATGATGTATTCCCCTCTGAGCTGGTATGAAAAGTAGGCCCTTGGTGATACTGTTGTACTTGGATAATCATGCCACAATGATGTGTGCCCGTCCCTGCACACAGCACATCCATGCTTAGGGAACTGCGAGTGCACTTTGTTCAGGGGACTTGGCATTGAAGGGATGTTGTGGCAGAGTGGTGAGATCATGGAAGTCGAGGGCAAACTTTGCAGTCAGGATGGGATGGGATCAGGATGCTTGTGTGTAGGGGACGAAGAACAGCTGGGGACAGGATAGGACACAGGAGCCCACCTGTGGGGTCAGCTCAGATGGTGTCCTTCCTTTCCTAGCACCACAAGAAGTACCAGCACATCCATCAGAAGTCCTTCTCCTGCCCAGAGCCAGCCTGTGGGAAGTCCTTCAACTTTAAGAAGCACCTGAAGGAACATGTGAAGCTGCACAGTGGTCAGTGGGGGAAATGCCTCCTCACCTCACCCTGTGGGTTCCTTTCCCTTCCCCTTTGGGTCCCATCACCGTCCTCTGTGGGTCCGTTCACCTCCCCCATGGGACTCATCACCTCCCCCTGTGAGGCCCATCACTCTTCCCTGTGTGTGCAGGCCCCTCACACCCTCTGTGGGTGACTCTCATGCACACACTCCTCCTGCGTTCCCTGTGTTGAGCACCTGCCTGAGACTGCTGTAGGTTCTGGGAGCTCTCAGGGAACGAGCAGGCGGCCCTCACCTCATGAGATGTGCCCCCTGGAGATAAGAGCAGCCAGGGATGTGAAGGCAGGGCCAGTGAGGAGGGTGGGGGAGGAGTTGCTCTGGGAGGGAAGGTGCTCTGAACAAAGGCCTCAGTGAAGGAGTGAGGGAGACTTGTCTATTAACGTGGGCACACCATGGGAAAGAAGAGAGGACAGACAGGTACTGTGGGCCCCGACTACCATGAGGATGGCTTGGCTTCTGGCCGTGTGAGACAGGCCATCCCAGAGTCTTGAGCAGTGGAGCAGCTGATTTTAAAAGGAGTGCTGTGGCTGCTATGTGGAGAGTAGGCATTGCAGCAATGTGCAGTGGGCAGTGACAGTAGCCTGGAGGCTACAGGAGTGTGATGGTGGAGTCAGGAGGGCTGTTGTAGGAAGGACAAATTGGCCACAGGTGGGATTGGCAGGGAGGAGTTGGGTGACTTGGAGGGTTCCAGTCTGAGCAACTCGGCAGAAACCAGTTCCTGAAACGAGGGACAAGTGGGTTTCAGGAAAGTGACATTTTATTAGGGCCATGCTAATTGGGCATCTCAAAAGATGTGAGTTGAGTTTGGGGAGGTGTTGGACTAAGAAAAGCTTGTTCGTTATGAGCACATGGGTGGTGTTGGAGCTGTGGGTAGCATGTCGCACACAGGGGGCTGAGCCTAGGTGAAGGAGAGGTCTGAGCATGCAGGGGCCATCCAGGCAGGTGAAGACAGCCCTGAGGACCCAAGTGGACAGAGTGCTGGGCAGGGGGCTGTGCCTGTGCTGCAGGGTTGAGCAAGACGATGATGAGGATAGGCCACATGCCAAGGGAGATGACAGCCAGAATGAAGTGGGTTCAAGGCAGGAAGGAGCTAAAGAAGTGGAGACAGTGAGCCTGGACAACTCTTTGGAGTTTCAAGCAGAGAATTGGGGTCTTAGCTGGAGGGCTGTGAGCTTGGGGCACAGAGATGGGGCTGGTCACCCAGAGAGGAAAGGTGTGCTGATGTGGTCTGGGTGGGCTACCATGAGTCGGTGAAGAGGGGTGTGTCACAGGCACAGTGGGAGGGTGACTACAGGGGAGCAGCGAGTTGTCACACGTGGGCGCAGAAGCATGTTGGCTGGTGGATTAGGTGGAGACAGGTTTGGGCATTTTCCCTTGGCCTCTCTTGGTACAACTGAAATGGGACTGGTGGAGAGAAGATGGCGTGAACATGGCCTGTGGACTCCAGAGAGGGAAAGAGTTGACTGGGGAAGTGCAGAGGCATGAGGGCCCTTGAGACTTGTAGCTGTGCATTCACTCTCCATAAGGCACAACTGATCTCACAGATTCATTGCACACAAAGATGCTGCTATGAAATACGTCTTTACTAAGTCACAAACATGACTGGCAATAGGTTAGAGAGAAAAGATACAGAAGCAATGAGTCACAATACTTAACTGTCAGATATTTGAAAATTTGTGTGCAATGAATCTGTGAGATCAGTTGTGCCCGATGGAGGGTTAAAGGAAAGGCTGAGAGTTATGTCCTGTCACATACACCTGGCCTGAAGGAGGCCAAGGGTTGTATTTATCCTGAGTTGGTTTTAACCCAGTGGGGACAGCTGAGGAAGAGAGGGACAGGTGAATCAATGGTGTGAGTGAAGGAAGGCTATACATGCCCTGGAAACAGAGCTGGGTGCTGGACAAGGAGGGGCAGGTGCACTGTGGGACTATGATGGGCGCTGGACTGGCAGCCTGTATCTCAAGATTGTCATAGTGGAACAGAGTAGATTATTGTAGTGTTTCCTGGTTGGAACTGGAATTCTTTTTTTTTTTTTTAAGATTTTATTGGGGAATTGGGGGAGGGGAACAACACTGGGGAATCAGGGGAAAGGGAACAGACAAGTTGCTGTTGTTTTGTTCTTCAGTCTAATTGTGGAGGACGTTGCTTCACTGCCCCATGTTGGTATTATCATTGTGCTCTTCCCGGGTGAGGCAGATTGGTCGCTGGCCTCTGGATGGCCACTCTTGGCAGCTCACACCGGCTGCCAGCCGCTCACGCTGGCTGCCAGCCACACATGGTAGCTTATGGTAGCCCACTGCAGCCTACACCGTCACCGGCGACTCACGGCAGCCCAGCTCCAGGTTGAGCTGTTGTTCACCATCTTAGCTATAGAGGGCACAGCGTCACTGGCCCTCATGTGGGATCTGAACCGGGGCCCTGCTGCTCAGAGCTGGTGTCCCAAGCCAGCTCTTAACCAACAGGCCACTCGGTCGGCTGGGAACTGGGATTCTTAAATTGTGATTTCAGGCTGGTGTGGTGATGGCAGTGGTGGTTGAGAAGGGTCGGGGACCAACCAGGTCAATGAAGGTCAGGCAACAGAAGTGAGTGCTGGCCATGTAGGAAACCGACAGCACGAGTGGCTGGGGAGGCCTGGAGCGCAGAGGTGTGATGTGGATGACAGCTGTGTGTGCGTGCATGTGTGTGTGGTCTGATGGCAAGGTATACAGAGCCGTGGTGAGACAGGTCTGAAGGACACCTTGAGAAGCTTGGAAGTGGCAGGGGGCAGGTTCAAGAAAAAAGGAGATGGGTTGCTGCTGACAGCCACAGGGCACTGCTAGGCAGAGAGGGTGGTATATGCAGGCTGAATGGCGGTGGGTGAGTTGGGGGGCCAGGAGTGGCCACACTGGGGATGGATACTGGGGTGTCCCCATGACCCGCAGACACCCGGGACTACATCTGTGAGTTCTGTGCCCGGCCTTTCCGCACTGGCAGCAACCTGCTCATCCACCGGCGCATTCACACTGGAGAGAAGCCCCTGCAGTGAGTTTGTGGAGAGGTGGTGGGGGGTGATGGGACACCTGTGCAGCAGCTGAGTCCCCTTCCTGCCCCCACTGTCTCTGGCTCAGGTGCGAGATCTGCGGGTTCACCTGCCGCCAGAAGGCCTCCCTGAACTGGCACCGGCGCAAGCATGTGGAGACAGCGGCCGCACTGCGCTTCCCCTGTGAGGTGTGCGGAAAGCGTTTTGAGAAGCCAGACAGCGTTGCTGCTCACTGCAGCAAAAGCCACCCGGCCTTGTTCCTGGAGTCTCCCCGCCCACTGGAACCCTGTCCCAGCATCTGTGCCTCTGTGCCCCTGGGGTCAGGTGATGGGTGCAGGCCCTCTGGGGTTCCTCAGACTCTGACCCTGCTCCCTCAGCAGTGACCCCAAGCACTGAAAAGGAGCAGAGAGAGAGGCCGGATGCCTGGTCCCTGGGAACTAGGGTGCAGGAGGATAGGCCGAGGGTAGGACTGGACTCCGGGGGAGCCAGGCTGCTTTAGTCTTCCTAAAGGACAGAATAAACCCAGGATTTTACATGGACATGTGTGGGCAGAGCAAGTGTTTTTGACCCTGGGGTACAGGAACCCTAATTGCTTTGGAGGCAGACTCTGCTAGGTGTGCAGCACAGGGCAGGCCCTATTCCTGTCTGTAGGCCCCCACCTGCCCCCACCTGGAGGACCCAGCTTGCTTTCCCAGTTTGGGCCCTTCACTGTGGATCGTCACACTCACTCTTGCACTGTGATAGTAGGGAAGAGTGCTAGGTGATCCTGGGCCATGTTTGTCTGCTCCACTGACCGAGAAGCAAATGTACAGTGCCCTGAGGAGTCGTGCAAAGTCAAGGGGGCTGTCCTAGCGGTGTTGCTGAGCTGCCTTGGGGAGTTTGAAAAGGCCCTGCTTTGGATCATTCCTGAAATCTGCGAAGAACAGCAGCCTCAGGCTGGACAAAGGAGGCTCTTGGCATCTAGAACCCAAACACACAACTCTTTTATTTCACCTGCCATAAGCAACAAATTGCTGGCAGTTTCAGGGAATTTTCCACACTGCCCTGTTGCCTCCATGGAAATGTTCCCTGTGGCTCCAAGCTTGACTTGGAGATAACAGATGCTCCACTGGGCAGTGCCTTGGCTTTGTGGACCCAGGTGGTCTTGGCCCAGGTACCAGGGCTGATATCTCCCACCTGGTTGGAGAATAGTCCTGAGAGACACCTTGATTTGGACACCATCAGGTCTGGCCCCTGGGATAGGAGGCTGGCCGTGCTGAGGGCTCCTAGCCACCTTTGCATGGGTGAGCCATCTCCAGTGCAGCAGGCTGGGCACTTCTGGCGTTCAGACGTCCTCCAGTGAAGCGAGCTCGCTCCCCCACCATCTCTGCCTGCAAACTCCTATTCTCTCAGAAGCCCAGGGTGGAAGCATCAGGGAGGCTAACAGCTAAGTGGAACCAAGAGGAGGGAAGGGCAGGTGACATGTTCCAGTGGCCACATCTGTGATCATTATCTGAAGAGGCAGGACAGCAAAGTGTACCAGGGAAGAAGAAAAGCACATTCAGGCTGGAAAAGGAGGTGGAACAGAGAAGACAGATCCTACATGGGGAGACAGGAAAGAAGCACCTGAGAGTACTGCAGCAGTGGGGGTGGGGACACCCCCAGGCTCTCCCAACAGGAAATGGGAGCTCATCCTGATTCCATCACCTACCCCACAGAGGGACAGAAGGGCTGGGGACAGGAAAAGGGCTGACAAGGGAAGTAGGTGTAGGCGCGGTAGGAGGTCAGGGGAAGGACTACCACCTGAGGTGGGGAAAGGTGACAGGCCACTGACTTTCCAGACCTCACATGTGTGAGTTGGCCCGATGTCCTGTGGTTACCCAGCCCACTCCAGGGAAGCTTCTCAGCCAGGCTCTGTCAACTGAGACACAAGAAGTCCCTGATTTTCCTGTCCTGTCTGCCCAGTAAAGATGAGGGGAGCAGCTGCAGTGGCCTGGGTGGCGGGGGCGGCGCGAGCACGTGTGTGGGCCGGCTGGTGCTGAGACAGTAAGCGGCTGTGGCTGAAGCACTTGCCACACTTGGCACATTGCGTGGGCCGCTCGCCCAGGTGCGTCTTGCAGTTCAGCGCCAGCTTGGAGCCCACGCTGAAGGCCTTGCCTCACTCGGGGCACTTGGGTTTGCACACTGAGGTTGGACATACACGTGAAGCGCTTGCCACGCAATTCGCAGCGGTAAGGTTTCTCACCTGTGTGCGTGCGCCGGTGCATAGTGAGGTCCGAGCGGTCACTGAAGCGGCGGCCACGCTCGGGACATGGGAAGGGCCTCTCACCGGTGTGGATACGCTTGCGCACCACCAGGTCGGAGCGCTGCCCGAAGCCCTTGCCACAGGTGGCACAGGCATGCGGCCGCGCACTCTGGTGGCTGTGGTGGTGGCGCAGCAGCGTGGAGCTCTCGCTGAAGCGGCGCCCACAGTCGCCACACGCATAGGGTTTCTCACCCGAATGTGTGCGCTGGTGGCACACCAGCGTGGCACTCTCCAAGAAGCCCTTGCCGCACTGGGGGCATTTGAAGGGCTTCTGGCTCCAGCGCGTCTGCAGGTGTCACGTTAGCCAAACCTCTTGCCGCACACGCCGCACGGGTGTGTGTCTGGAGCGCGTGGCTTCCAGGGTGCGGAGTCTCCGGGGCTGTAGGCTGAGTGCACGCGCACATAGCTCCGCAGCCCCGCGCTGCTATGGAATGCCCACAGGCGCTGCTCAGCAGTTAAGCGAGCTGGTGGGGATGCATCGCGGGTCCGCCTGCGCTTGGTGGAAGTGCAGCGCGCTCTGGCGCGTTCGGGCACAGAGCGGGCAGCGGCGGGCCCGCTCCGGCAAGTGCGAGCGGCGCCAGTGTAGCAGCAGAGCCGGGCGATGTGGGAAGCGGCGGCCGCAGACGTGGCAGGAGTAGGAGCGGTGGCGCCGCCGGTGCACGCTTTGGTGCAGGTCGAGGCGGCTGCTCTGGCGGAAGCTCTAGATGCAGAGCGTCTGGCTGGCATGGGCGTGGCAATGCACGCACAGCTCAGCGGTCTGGGCGCAGTGCTCCCCGCAGTCCAGGCAGCAGGAGCGGCAGTCGCCGCTGTGGGCACGCTTGTGCCGCAGCAGCACTGAACTGTAGCAAAAGCTTTTGCCACACTCACTGCGCACGTAAGGCCTGCCCTCGGCCGCTTCTGGTGCAGTAAATATGGTGAGGGCAAGGTGGGCGCCCTCGGGCTGCCGGCCTTACTGGCAGGGAAGCGTGCCGCTTATACTCCAAGGTCCACCTCCTCCAGCTGCGGGGTATTTTCCGTTTTCTTAAGGCCTGGAAAGGGGGTGATAGCAGAGGGAAAAGGGGAAGGCCTGGAAAGTTGGTCTAGATTTCAGGGTTCCTTCCTCTCTCCTGGGCAGGTGCTGTGGCTGGTCCACTATGCACCGTGAGCCCCACCGACAACCGCAACTGCTATAGCTTGGTGAACAGAGGAGCAATCACAGACTACAGATTCCATTCTCGAAGAGAAGGCAAAGCCATAGGAATCCTAGAAATGTGGCAAGGGGGTCTTTCGTGCCACCGTGAAGGACAAGAGGGACTCAGAGGGCAGCTTGCCTCCAGGACACTGCTCAGGGGATGAGGGAGGCCCAGTCTTCTCTGGCCTTAGACTGGGGTCTTGGCCTGGAGACGCACTCAGAAACAACCAGGGCAATGAGAAGGCCCCTGAGCCTAGACCACACCAACACCTCTCTCTGCGACTGTTTCCTGAGGCCGGGGCTGGAACATCCAGCAGCAGCCTGGGCTGAGGCTCAGAAGGGGCTGGGGCCTGGGCAAAGGAATACTTCCCTTCCGGAACCCCAAAGCGTTGCTCCCTGGCTTTGGACAGTGCCTGACAAAGTCACTCCACACCAGTGCGCAGTGGATATTCCCTAGCCTAGCCCTGAGAAAGCAACTCATGACCCAGGAAAGGGGTGGAAAGGGAGCATGGAAAATTCTCAGGAAGTATTATTAAAAGTTGATGGCTTATCCGAGAAGTGATTTTCACACTTTCAGGGAAGGCAGGGGAGAAGGGAAGGGCATCCTTTCTAATTATCAGGGCTTCCAAGTTGCTTACAAATATTCTGCAGACTCATTGCTCCAGGTCCAGGGATCTGAGAACCTGGAGTAGCACAGAAGCCCCTTTCCAGGGACAGAATCTGCTCTGCTATTCTTTATCTCAAATCATATCCCTGAATCCTTCTGACCAGTTGGTCCAGGCAGCTGCCTGGGAGCAGGGTCAGGCTCTGTGCACAAAGCCTTCTGTGCCCATGAGTTACAGTGCAGACGGGCTGCCCCTCCTCACCTGGCCAGCCTCACCACCAATTGCTTCCCTCAAGGCCTACAGATCTGTCCCCAGCTCAGTTCAGTGGGGCACTGGAGATTAGGTATAGTTGCTATCAGTTATAGGCTATGTCACCCAACAGATCAGGGAAAGGAAGCAAACAAAATGGTCAGTAGTCATTTTCTTATTAGCAGATGGAAATTCATAAATATCCAGAGCTCTGATTAAAACACCCCAAAGATGAAGTCTTCATCCTTTGGATGTAAATGGGGTCAATTGCAAAAGCATTGGGAGCCACAAACCTGCAGGCTGGGCTCTGGAACTTCTGTTCCCCTCTGCCCAGGGCAAGGGTGTCTGGGAAGCAGGAGATGCTATGCCCTGCAGGGGTGAAGTAACAGGGGCAGCTTGCATTTAAACTGAATATAGGGGAGAGAAAGAAGTGGCAAATGTTTCCTGGAAGAGGTCTTTTTTAATGGACATTTTCAAATATGAGAAACTTACAAGAACAGTATCACCTTCACTCACCCACCTTCAGCGTCTATCTATGTTTTGCTCTTCTGTTTCTTCTATGATACTCCCTCTACCCCTCAGACTTCCCCTCCTCCCCAGTCTGGAGTACTTTAAATCCCAGACATCTTATTCAAAGAGGATGAGTACACCCCAGAGCAGACTTCAAAGGAAGTCTACTTCCAGAGGGAACTTGCAGCCCAGACATGAGCTGCTGACTCTAAGTGGTGGTCAACTTAAAGGAATGTCAGCCTTCCTGTGAATAAAACCTGCCCTCAAGACTCAGTGGTTGACTCCAAATGCCACAATAAGCAATGCTCATGCCCTGGTGATTGTCCCACCTCACAGGGGGGCCTCCCGGCACCATGGACCTCTCAGGCCAAGTTTCTGGGAACCCACCTTCTGCACATGCCCAAGAAAGGTAAGACAAGCGCACAAACACAGACATGCACAAAATGGCACTTAACCAAGGTATCATTCCCCATTACCGATGTAGAGTGAGAGACGCTGGTCTCAGAAGCAGGTCTGGTGCTTGAGTGCAGGTCACGCCCCTTAGGTCCCCATTCTGTCCCTCACCCCATGCTGGACCTTGTCCTGAAATCAAAGGTGCCTATGCCTGTGAGGAAATCTGAAAGAAAAGTAATATATGACTGTGCCAAAAAAAGAACAGTTTCTCGACTGTCCCAACCACCACTTATCCTGATTGAGAGTTTTGAAGTTGTTATACCACCAAAGTTAAATTTCTTTTACTTTGGAAAAAAAATAAGTACAAGGTAAGCTTGGAAAGAAGTAAGAGGATAAATAGGTGTGAATTGGTGACAAGTCCTAATTGTTCAATGCTTTAAAGTATTTTAGTACCTTCTAAGCATTTAATACTTACAAGTATTTACAAACACTATATGTATAACTAATAAAATATTGATACTGAGGGGTAAGACAAACTAATGGAGAAAGTTAACTCACAGTAGGTTAAAGATAAATTCTGAGTTTCGTACATGACTTTATTTTTGTTTCTTAACAGATGTGCAAGTATGTCACATCTAACTGACCACATCTTACAGGTTGACTGTAGGAACTAGTCAGGATTGATCACGTTCACTAACACTGTGCTGCAAACAGCTCTGTCACGCTCCTCCTCAGACAGCATGAAGGTTCTCTTCCCCCTTAAGTGCTCTGCTGAGCCTGCATTTCCGGGGTGATATGACCAGTGACCACCTTGCAATTCCTCCATCCCGAAGCCAGACTTGGGGCAAATGGGTCTGGGCTGCAGGAGTGGGGCTGAGTGCTGTCCCAGCTGTGCTGTCCACTAGCCAGAGCCATGAGTCATAGGTGGGACTGAGCACTTGAAAGGTCCAAATGGAAATGCACTGTAAGGGTCAAGTAAACTCCTGATTTCAAACACTTAGTAAGGAAAAAGAATGCAAAATATCCTATTAATAATGTTTAATGTTGATTATATGTTGAAATTTGGAGATATATTGGGAGATATATATAATTTGGAGATATATATTACAATCAATTTCACCTGTTTTTAAGAATAGTGACAACTACAAATGCAACTCACATTTTCTTCTATTGGATAGTGCTTGCCCAAATGGCCTTTCCGAATCCTGGGACAATATACAAAGGGAGGTGGCCCAGCTCACAGCCCCTGGGGGTTTGCCTGGGAGGAGGTCACTGACTGCCGTGACCCTTAGAGCCTCAGTAATCAAAGAGGGCCATTCCTGTCATCTGGCAAGACTCTGTGCCCTGGCTACCCCTCCCAAGGAGTCCACCTGCTCTTCTGGAAAGTGGACACATGCACTGTTGTTCCCAAAGTGTTACCAGCATCAACATATGAGGACTCTGACAAGGAGAAAATTCTGGCATGTTCTGAACTGAATTACAGAAGCTGAGGAATGACAGAAAGAGACAGGACTGCCAGTCTGTTAATGGCTGCTGACGAGCTAAGAAAGGGCATCACATTCCTGTGTTGCCTGTTGGAAGTTTGGATTAATTTCCGCAGATTTTCTCACCAGGGCACCAACTAACCCCAAGAGCCCCCCTTGTTTATATGAGGGCTTTCCAGGTTGCTGCCCCAGCTTATCGACAGCATGGGCATTTCTTGCCATGGACTCTGTTAACTCAGAACTGGCCCCGCATCACCTCCCCACCCCCTTTTGCCTAAAGCTCATGAAAATTCTTTCAGACTATCTCCTTATTCCCTCTTGCCCCTACTAGAAACACTTGCAAAACTCTGGAATGACAGACAAGCTGTCTTTTCTACCTAGCCATGCTGCTGGTACTTTAGACCCCATGCCCCAAGACCCATCTTTTGTCTGGCATTTTGGCTTAATAAAACCTTGACTAACAAAAAGACTTCAGTCATGGAAGATTTTTTATTTAATAATTCTCATGTGTTTGTATGTCCCCTTTTTATCCTCCCAGTAGTCCTCTGAGGTGGGTACTATTGGTTACCCCTGTGTGACCCGAGGTCCTGTGCCAGATTGTCCAGAGTCACCTGGAACAAGCACAGCAGGTGGGTACTGGGACAGGAAGGGGACGATAGGCCCAGTGGCCCATGTCTAGCTCTGCCAACAGTACCAACCCTTCTAGGCCCCAGCCACTTGGCAGTAGTTCTGCAGGAAGCCCTGGGCAGCCCCAGGGACCACCCTGCAGAGACAGGGCTGGGTCTTTGCCCACAGTGTTGATCCATTGTGGCCCTGGGGGAAAGGAAACTGGGGGCATTGGCAGAAGTGGCTCAGGGCGCAGTAACTACATTTGGGAGAGGTGATTCTTCTGCTGGTCTGTCTCTGGATCCTTAATCCCACCCCTGCCTCAGCCCCAATGACATTGTTGTGTCCAGGATTCTGAGGTAACACTAGACCAGCGGTTCTCAACCTGTGGGTCACAACCCCTTTGGGGGTCGAACGACCTTTTCACAGGGGTCGCCTAAGACCATCAGAAAACAAAAAGATATTTACATTACGATTCATAACAGTAGCAAAATTACAGTTATAGAGTAGCAGCGAAAATAATTTTATGGTTGGGGGTCACCACAACATGAGGAACTGTATTAAGGGGTTGCGGCATTAGGAAGGTTGAGAACCGCTGCCCTAGAGGATGCTGAAATCTACATCCACAGAGAAGCAAATTATCTACTTCTCACTCTCAGGTGAGGGAGGAATCAGGTGGTGGAAAAGTTTATCTGGTCCTCTGAAGCCTGCTTTGGGGCATGTTCACTTATAGTGCCTTTTGCCTGGAAAGCCCTTTCCCCCACATTCAGGGTGCTGGTCCAATAACCTCTCTGCAAAAAAGCATCATTGAGTACCCTGCACTCCCCTCCCCCCCCCCCCCCCACACCGTACTTGGCTTTATTCTGAGTTATCAGTGACAGCAACAGGAAACAGTGACTCCCATCCATTCAGGTAAGGCTTCAATGCCTTTTCTAGGTAAGGATGGGGTGTGAAATCCAGAGCTTCCTTTCTTCTCCACTAACAGAATCAGGGTCCAGTACTTCAAAAGGTGCCCTTCCAGCTTCAGAAACAATCTAACGTTTAAGGAACTGGTGGAAATTAGAATGACAGCTCCCGGGCTGACCGAGTGGTGCGTTGGTTGAGCTGGCTTGGGATGCCAGCTCTGAGCAGCAGGGCCCAAGTTCGGATCCCACATGAGGGCCAGTGACGCTGTGCCCTCTACAGCTAAGATGG